ATACTCCTCCTTTCCCCATCCGAATTTACACTTGTCACACATATCAATTAGAGTAGAGCAGGCTTTTGTTTTCAGTGAAAACGTCAAATGAGCCTTATGTTATTAAAATCGAAAGAGAGGTAGCGATTCTGAATAAATATTTTTTTTGCCAGATTCTTTCGTTTCATGCAAAAACGTGTTGAATAAGCCTAATTTCATGGATTTTTTAGCTGCGGATGCTAAACTGAATAACTATCAATTAAGAATTTGTTTTAAAAGCACAAATTCTTTGCTTTAAAAACAAATTTTCTATTGTAAAAATAAAAATTATATAAAAAAAACAAATTAAACATAAGAATGTAAGGGGAAGTAGGAGTCAGCGCGGTGCTTGGTACGCAAGTATAACATATGTTTAAAAGTCCATTTTTAATATAACAAAATATAATGTCCGTATGTGTTTCGATGCTTACTTCAAGTCATTCTCAACGGATAATATAACACTATTCTGTATAAAAGTAGTGAATCAACCATGGTGCCAATCATTCAACATTTCAAAAAGATTTCTTAGATTCATTCCAGTTTATTGGAAAGGCCAGAAAGAAACAAGTAATTGTTATAAAATAAAGGTATAGGAATGAGAATGTCTAGGATATATATTAAATTTATTTTTTAAAAAAGAAACAACAAGAACAAAATAGTATGACAAATTAATGCAACTTTCACATACACATATAGTAGTCATCCAATTGAATATAAAACTTATTTGAGTAATATGATAAAATAATAAGAGTGATCCAAATATATTTTTTTCGTCAAATGAGTAGCTCGAACTGTGACAGTTGTTCATTCTTCGGTTACACAGAAACAAGTAACACGTGTTACCGATACAAGTACTGACTCGAAATGATCGAAAGCATAGTTGTAAACATTGATTTTTAAATTGTATTAAGGACTGACATAGGCGTGAAAAGAGCCTGTTTATTTTTTATCAAAGAAAGAGATAGACTACAAAAGAAAATAAATTAGCTACTTCACAAACATAAAAAAAACAAAAGTATTAGGTGTAGTAAAAAGTCATCGCGTTTTTTTAAAAGACATCTGTCAGTAAAAACCGCAATTACTTTCTTACCAACAATATAAATATATCTTAATAGAGTAAAGTTTCAGCTTTAAAAATCTCTTTTTTAAATTATACGATACGACAATTTTTAATGGAGTTATGAGCAATTAAAGTCAAAATAATTCTTTTATTTAATCCGCGATAACTCAGTAATCAAAAGTCGTAGGAATATTTAAAAAAAACGATTTTGTAGGGAAAGTATCAAGCTTTCACGATAGATAATCGAAAATTTTCTCAAATTCGTTTTGGACACGTTACAAATCCACAAAGTGAGAAGAAAATTTTTCGTCTTTTTCAGCTCGTAGTTTTTGGTATGTAAAAATTATCAAACTCATATAAACTTAAAAAATGTGATAATCTTTTAAAAGTAGAGATTTCAAGCTTTAAAACCCTTTTTTTAAATTTGAATTTCATTCATTATTGACGAAGATATTGTATATATAACTTTGAGCTAAAAAATACGCGATGACTTTTTACTCAACCTGATAGTATCCAAAATTACACACACACATTTTATAGTATTAATAAACGTCGCAGTTTAATCAAAGTGCAGAAAGATATCTACTAGTTCACGGAGAAACGTTGTCTATAAGATTGCCTGCAAAGACTGCGAGGCTTCTTATGTAGGACAAACTGGTCGACAATTACATACATGCATTTTTGAACACAGAAATCATATTAGAAGAAAAACGACTTTCTATTTGGTCATTACAGGTTACGATCACAGGTTACAATTTGACCATGAATTCGATTGGGACAGGACAAATTTTGGATATAGAAAGGAATTACAACAAAAGATTAACATCCAAAATACTACATATAAAAACAAAAAAGGAGTTTAAACCTCCAAACAGATACGGAAGTTTTAGACCGTACCTATACGTCAGTTCTTTACAATTTAAAAATCAATGTTTACAACTATGCTTTCGATTGTTTCGGGTCAGTACTTGTATCGGCGGTGACGTATTATTTGTCTCTGTGTAACCGAAGAGTGAACAACTGTGATAGTTCGATCTACTCATTTGACGAAAAAATATATTTGGATCATTCTTATTATTTTATCATATTACTCAAATAAGTTTTATATTTAATTAGTTGACTACTGTATGTATATGTGCAAGTTGCATCAATTCGATAAGTGTCAATCTATTTTCTCCCTGTTGTTTCTTTTTCAAAAAATAAATTTAATATATATCCTTGACATTCTCATTTCTATTATATACAATATATCTTTACTTTATAAGAATTATTTGTTTTTATAAGAATTATAATTTCTGAAATTCATTTAATAATTCATTTAAATGAATACATGTAATAGGTTCTTTCTTTCTCTGGTCAGTAAACTGGGATGATTCTAAGGAATCTTTTTGCTATGTTGGATGGTTGGTACTATAGTTGATACACTACTTTTGTACAGGATAGTATTATATTAATTCCGTTGAGATTGACTTGAAGTAAGTCGGAACGCGTACAGACTTTATACAGACATCATATTCTGTTATATTAAAAATGAATTTTTAAACATATACATTGTTATATTTGCGCACCAACTACTGCGCTGACTCCTACTTCCCCTTACATTCTTGTCTTTAATTTGTTAAATATTAAGGAGCCCCCCCCCCTCCCATTATATAACATTAATTATTGTTCTCATTATTGTTTAAAAATTATGTAGAAAATAATTTGTATTTTTAAAACATAGAATGTATTTTTATAAAGTATTACGTCGCGTCGCTGTTGAGATTTTAAAGTTAATGCATTTAAGCAATTTACCCGGGGGTCGGAGATCAAGTTGTACGGTTAAGGATGCTCACTAGGAAGTATTGGATAATTACTCAGAAAGATAATTTTGAACCCGGTATCAAAAAGATTACGAAGCTTATAGGCGAATCTGCGTGGATCGGCTTTTCGAATGTCCTTGTAGTTAG